TGAGCTGCACCAGGGGAGGTTTAGATTGGACATCAGGAGGAATTTCTTCAGAGAGAGAGGGATCAGACACTGGAATGGGCTGCCCAGGGAGGTAGTGGAGTCCCTGGATCTCTCTAAGAAGATACTGGATGTGGCACTCGGTGCCATGGTCTGGGTAATGAGGTGGGGTTGGTTCACAGGTTGGACTCGGTGATCTCGGAGGTCTTTTCCAACCTACTTACAGAATCACAGAATCAACTAACCCAGACCATGGCACCACATCCAGGCTCTTCTTAAACACCTCCAGGGACAGTGACTCCACCACCTTCCCGGGCAGCCCCTTCCAACGTCTGATCCCTCTCTCTGTAAATAATTTCTCCCTATTGTCCGATCTAAACTTCCCCTGGTGCAGTTTAAGATTTTGATTCTATGATTGATTCTGTGATTGTGTGGGGTGGACTAGGCCGCGCGTTGCTAGGCAACGTTTGGCGTTCGTGACGTCATTTCCGCACACCCCACTCCTAGGCTCCTAGGCCGGTGACGCCACTTCCGCCTTTCGCAGGTGCGGGTGTCATGGCGGCCGTGTCCGTGTTCCCGTCGTCGCGGGAGCTCGGCCCGGCGCTGGCGCGGATCGTGGCCGAGGCGGCGGCCGAGGCGGCGCAGGGGGAGGGCGGGCGGTTCTCGCTGGGGCTCTCGGGGGGCTCCCTGGTGGAGCTGCTGGCGCGAGAGCTGCCGCCCGCCCTCAGCGCGGCCCCCGCCGCCGCCGACCCCGCGCGGTGGCTCGTGGCCTTCTGCGACGAGCGGCTGGTGCCACCCGAGCACCCCGAGAGCACCTGCGGCGCGTACCGGGTGAGCGGGGACGGGGACGGGGTTGGAGGGGGGGGTGGAGCCCACCCTGACACCCCCCCCCGGCCGTGTCCCCCACCGACCCCCTGATCCTCCCCTTGTACCCCCCCAGGCCCAGCTGCTGCCCCGGCTGCCCCCCCCCGGCCCGCAGGTGCTGTCGGTGACCCCCGGGCTGGGCCCCGCCGCCGCCGCTAGAGACTACGGGGAACAGCTCCGGAGAGTACGACTGGGACTGGGAGGACTGGGACTGGGGGTACTGGGACTGGGACCTGGAGGACTGGGACTGGGACCTGGGGGGGGAACTAGAGGGGACTGAAGGGGGATTGGGAGGGGACTGGAGGGACTGCGAGGGACTGAGGGTACTGGGAGGGACTGGGGGAGACTGGTGGGGACTGGAGGGACTGGGAGGCACTGGGTAAAATGGGGCAGAGGGGCATCAGGACTGACTGGAGGGGAGCTGGGAGAGCTGAGGGGATCTGCAGGGTCCTCAAGGGGGTCTGGGGGGGTCCAGGGTCTGCAGGGAGTGTGTCCCCCCCCATCCTCATCCCCTGTCCCCCCCCAGGCTTTCCCGGGGCAGCAGGTTCCCGTGTTTGACCTGCTGGTGCTGGGGGTGGGCCCGGATGGACACACCTGCTCCCTGTTCCCAGGGCACCCCCTGCTCCAGGTGAGCCCCCCTGGGAACCCCGTCACCCCCCCGGCGGTCTGTCAACCCCCAGACCCCGTTGCCACCCCATGGGTGTCCCTGGGGACCCTGTCACCCGCCCCCCCCCC